CTCACTCCAATGCGCTTGATAGAGTGAGTAGGAGCTATGGTAGGAACATGTTGGAGTATGTTAGATCTTGCGACGCGAACAAACCTATAGTGAGGTTACGACACACTCTCACAAAACAATAATTTCGTCCTGTTAATCTATACTTTTGCAGTAAAACTTAAGTTTTCCTTATAGTAAATACTTCAAAAAATATTTTAATATACATATAACAAAGTTGATTTATTTATCTTTAATATGTTTAAAACTTGAAAAAATCTAACTATAACCATTATAACCATTATACCCCAAGTTCCCCTAATATATTATTGATATATTTTCGATATACAAATGTTATATTCAAAGTTGCTGACATAGAGTCGTACCACACAAAAAGTACATTATATTTAGCATTACAAATAATATTACATGTAACATTTCTGACACTCGTATAACATTACATCTAAGTTACACGTTGCGGTTTGCTGGGAGGATTTATGACTCTTGTGCATTAAAACAATTATGGTTATCAGTGTAATCAAATTACAATAAAAATGGCATTCGGTCAATTTGATATTGCTACAATTCCCAAGAGCTTATCATCAGAATATAATTGAAGGATCCCATTGAAATTTACGATTTTGAGTCGGGCGTTATTGTGTATGTATGTATGTATATGTGTATATATATATGTATACATACATGTATATCCGTTAATTAGTCATCAGAAATCTTTATATATTTAAAATAAGCATCACTTATGCTGCGCATACACATACAAGCAATATGTTAAGAACTATAATAAGATCAATTATTCTTTCTTATTTCTGACGAAATCAATTAATACTTGTATTGAATATACGAAGAACAAGATCAACATTTATTATTTTCTTTTATCTTTTAATAAAATTTTATAGCCCTATTATCAAGGTATACGGAATAAATAATATAATAGTATAAGGAATAAACAAAAAAGAATTATATGTATAAATGCAAAATAAATGAGAAAAGACAATAAATATATATATTTTGAAAGCACATTTTTTTACACAGGATTACATTTTGGTATGTTACATTCTATATACTAAAATCGTTTCTTTTTCTCTCGATGTATAAGATATAAAAATGAAAAAAATTCCCGCTTCTTCCATTTCCATTTGGCAATGAAGAATCGAAACGTCATGTGTCTTAAATTAATTCAATTATTCGAAGTATTATTAGAAATACATTACGACACACGCGCGCACGCACACGCACACGCACACGCACACACACACACACTCTCTCTCTCTCTCTCGCGCGCGCGCGCACGCACACACACACCTATCTCGGTGCTTTAACAACAAACAAAATTACAATTCGTCATGCGTTTTCATGTGATTCATTACGAAGTCGTACAGATCGTCGAGATTACGCGAGCCATTGTATTCCGAGACTTTGCGTCCATTACGATATAAGTACAAAGTTGGGAAACCATCCACCTCTTGTTCATTGCACAATTGTTTACTTACGTCGAGTGTACAATCGACTTTGATAATGTTCACATTGTCGTTGCCGAAGAACTTCTTACCCAGCTCTTCCCACGTAGGAGCCAGACGTTTGCAATGTCCACACCAGGGTGCGAAGAACTTGACGAATGAAAGGCCCTTTTCGATACCTTGTTTGAAACTATCAGCCGTCAAACTCAATATAGCATTCGGGATTCCGTCAGTATTCTCAAGCTTCCGGCTTAACTCATTCTCTGCATTCTTACCCAGCATCATTGACACATAAGCTTTCAACTCTTCGTGAGTACGCTGGCCAGTATATTTATCCACCTAGAGATTTATATTCCATTAAATATTCCATCAAAAATTCTTTTATGTAAAAGAGAATAGATCTGTTTGCGTTACTTGCACTTTTTACATCTTCGTTTTTTCTCTTTTTAACGTCCGAACATACATACATTTATCTCATTTTAAGTGCAACAATTTTTGAGAATTTCAAGCAACGAAAACAGACCTAATGTTTACTGAAATAATGTAAAAAAATTCCCTAAGAATTCCTGGATTTTCTAGGTATTTCTTTAAAAATTCTAGGTAAAATTAAAGAATTTTTTAAGAGTTGACAAAAGAGAGATTTATAGACCTCCGTAAGAGAAAAATTTCTTTATTACTGAAATTACGGCTACAATACTAAGAAAATTGCAATGTAATTGTGGTATTCACGTGGAAAGCGCGTATAGAACATTTTTTTAAGTAAAATAAAAATTCGTTCCGATGTCTCATTCGATCTGCACTATAGTTGAGATGTAGATAATTTTATTTATAAAAGGTGTTTTTCAATAACCTTTACGGAAAAAAACTGCTAGTGTACAGTAGTGATACTGACATTCAATAGTATTACTATTTATATGCAATAGTGCCACTGCTGAATCAGTAGTGCTACTAGTAGTGTTTAACACTATTAGTAGTGTTCACCACTATCGTAGTAGTGGCACTATTAGTATCTATTTAATACTACCCTTGCAGCATTCTTGTTATATTATTAACAGAATGTTCAGTAACATAGCGTATTTTTATTAATTGTAACATTTAATATAAAAAATGGTTGTAATAAAAAGTACATATGTACCATTAGAACAATTAGTATTGTAATTTTAGCATGTAGGAATATTTCACAGGCATTTGGGTGTATGCGTGCATGCATGTGTGCGCGTGCTGATTATAACAAATAATAATTATTAACATATTTATCAATCGAAGAAATGGTGTAGGACGTAATGCAGGAAACTCATAATCCAGAGATCTCAGGTTCGAATTCCACACTAAGGTAAGTATGTTTTTCAAAACCAATTTAGATAACTAATTTCAGCTAAAATCATACACTGTAAACATCTTATATGAAATAATTTCAGTTTAAAAAAATAAAATTTGTAAGTTAATTTTTTTTACGAATATTTCCTCACGAAAAGAAACTACTGCAGTAATATACCAGTGGCAGGGTTGGCACAGAAAAACTCAGTTTACAAAAACCTACTGGGTTTTTGTAGAAAAACCCAAGTACAAATTACAAAAACCCAAATGCATGTCAAATTTCATTGTATAATATTAATATATCTTCGCATTTTTAAACAAAAACTCAATAAACTAAAAAAAAATGCTCATGTTTTTTAATCTTTCTAACTACTAATTTTGCTTAGCAATCTCGAGCTAGATATTTTATTTTTATATATTATATTTCAATTCATTTATGTTAGTTTAATTATAATTAAACATTGGAAAGAAAGATATGAAGTCGTATCGCAGATTGAACATAACACATTTAACTTTACGAATAAAATTATATAAAATTGATAAATTTTCTTTAACGTCATCAAGTGAATTTAATTATTTCGTCGTTGAATGGCGAGAAAAAGCAGTCTTTTTCGAAAATTTTCAAAAGAAATCGAATAATGTTTTACCAAATCATTCCAAACATACTGTGGTAATACGTTTGACAAAATTAGATGAAAAAAAACATTAATTGTCTATTAAGAGAATGTGTTTCTATGTAAATCAAATATTTCTATAATATTATAATTAAAAAATTTGTTTCTATGAATATAGTATCTTATTTAATTTTTGATCGCCTTATAATGTTTAAATTGTAAGTGAAAGAAATTATTAGAAAAATGTGATAGAAAAACATTATTAGAAATACATAATTTTAAAAATGTACCTGTGATATGGTTGTTATAAGTTTACAATTAATATCAATCCAACGTTTCAAAGTTAAAGCCTCATGATCACCGAAGTTGGTAATTAAAATAAAGATAATAACGGTGAAATTTAAATGGAAAGTTATCAGAACACATTGTACGACCCGCGTGTAAATAAATTGAAATGTGTAAAATATCTAGCTCGAAATTACTAAGCAAAAATTAGTAGTTAGAAAGGTCACGAGTAACGTTTATTGGATCTTTAAAAATAAACTAGTTTATTACAACATATATTAAAAATTAAACTAGTTTTTTTATTCTATAAATGAATCGGAAATTTGTTGCAATGATTACTTAACATAAATGATATTAATAAAATGCTGGTCCTAAATCCTGGTAGTATCTGTTTGACAACTTTTTAAGATTATGTTTTTGTCGAACAGATACTACGCTTTTAAAACAATAGATGACTGCTATTAGAGTTCTAGAACAAAAACCCACAAACCACAAAAATCCACAGAAACCCACAAAAACTCCCAAAAATTTAGGTTTTTCTGGAAAAAAACTGAGTTTTTGCCTGTTATACCAGTGCAGTAGTGCAATAGTGGTCGAATTTACTACCACATTAATAGTGCAATAGTGCAGTAGTTTTCTGTAGTTTTTTCATGAGGGAAAAGATACAGATGCTACAATGTAACAGTGGATCATTACCTTGTCGTTTAATATTAAATTTTAAGTGATCACTGTGTTACATTGTCTCTTGTAAAAAAGCACCATAAATCAGAGAGAAACCTGAAAATGCCATTAGATAGGAGTATCAAGTGTCAAACATCTACATGAAAGCTTATTGCGTATGATACCAGCTCCTTAATGCAAAATAATAAATTAAGAAAGATTAAAATACATTATTATCCTAACATATAATACTGAAAATTTATGTTTATTTACATTATATAATGTAAACTATAAGATTCCACTACCAGCAGTGTACCATGAGTAGCAAAAATGAGTGCCTTTTCTGGTGTAACTAGGCATAGTGTTCTTATAACACTTAACACATTTATATGTATACGGCTTCTTAACTTCGACTTAATAACGCTGATGTCATAAGCCCCACTTAAGTAAGTCGTGTTTACACGGTCAGGCTCGTTTTATTCCCGAGCTGAAAGCATAAAAGAATATGAAAAGTTGAGCAAAATGAACTTTCAGGTTAGGTTATACTTATGCCATTCAATTTACACCGAAATTATAACACGGCTGTTCACACATCCTTTTTATGTCGATGTAGTAACCCTCTTCATCAAATGACTTTGAATCATTATATCGATGTAATAATTTCGTCGTAAAATAAATGTTTACACGACATCTAACGTCGGTAATTTATAACATCGACATTATGAAACTGGCCAATCACAGTCATTCCATTCTTCGAAGGAATAGCTATGTTGGCCAGTTTCATATCATCGATGTTATAACTTCGACATAAATCGAGCCGTGTAACTATTGAATAGTAGGTGCAATGATTCACAGATGATGAACTCATCTAAACCTGATGACGGGTACAAAAGATAGTCTCGAGACTCTCGAAAAAAGGAAATTTAAATATGATGCTTTCTTGAAGGGCCTATATATTGTTCACTTTCGAGTCATATCGAACAAACAAATGAAGAACAAGCGAATTTCCCTCTTATTTGTATCTCGAAAAAAATCAGTTCCTATAATATAAAGTTCTGCCAAATATATAAATATTCGAGAGGTACTTGGAGGGTCACGTTTAGTTGAAAAACTCTAGTGAATAATGCTTTGTTTAACATAATGCTGTAAGCGACAGGTATTGTAGTTCTTGTCTCCAAGTTCAAAATCAGTAGGAAGGCGATAATCAGAGATTCAATTTGGAAAACATGCCTCTCGAAAAACTGAAGGAAACAATTGAGATGGAGAAATCCAATCTTATAATCACGAACCTATTCATACTTAAATATCGAAACAGGAAAACCGGCCAAATCGAAGACTCTCGAGCAGTCTGCGTCAAGACAAAAGGCGAGTCCAGATATGATTATCATCGAAAAAATGGCTAATTGAGTTAAACTGTATGTACTGTTCGGCTCTGCTTCAAATGTGGCTATATAGAGCACATTAATAAGTTCTGTGAGAAACTAGAAGCTTGCCTGAATTGCGCGGGTGCTCACCACTCTTTGAAGGCGCAACAGCCAAAGACATGTATTAATTGTGGAAGCCCACATAATACATTGGATAAAAGCTGTATGTAGGAAGCACGTGGAAATCGCGAGGGTCATGAGGTGTCAAATAAAAGTATTTCAAATACATGCCCAGCTCTGCTCATTCATTTTTAAAGATTTAATATATATAAAATGCATGCGCATATGGCTAGCCATTGCATGCACACGTGACCACAGTACATGCGCACTGCACAGTTCGCAACATGCATGTCGATACGATAGATTTCATAATCTCATAATGGCAAACTGCTATTATTAATATCTTGCTTCGCGAGATACAGCGAGATTTTTTCCTTGTTAAATTTTACTTTTACACAAAAACGCATTGAGTATATCTTTATAAACATTTAAAGTGAACGAGATATTTTCTGCATTTATCTTCTCTACAATTGTAGCCATGACATCTATAGGATAGTAAAAATGGGTCACTATAATTATTAATATTAAAGAATTTCTATTATACAGAATGTCTCATTTTAAATAATGCATTAAGATTTCTCAAAAACTATGGTAGATACGGAAAAATGTATCAAACAAAAGTTGTATGGTTCGGAGGGAGACATAAGAAGGTAAATGGAACACCAGATATTCAGATACCATCAAAAGTAGGGTGTTCCATTTAAAAAAATCGATGTGACCTTGATCTGACCTTAACGACGCCACCCAAGGTCAAATCAATGGTACCTTCTTATATCCCTCTCCGAACCATCAGGGTTGGAAAAAACTCGGGCTTTTTTAAAAAACTTAACCCACACACCACTCTCTCTCTCTGGGTTTTATGGGGGTTTTTATTGGGTTTTATGGGGGTTTTATTGGGATTTTTTTGGGTTTTTCGGGTTTTTTGGGGGTTTTTTTGGTAAAATTGATTATTTGATATTTTTTTCACGTAATATTTAGTTTACGTTGTATTTATCATTATTCACTACCTTATTATCACTACCTTAATACTTTTATATGCAGAATGATTAGTGAGATCATATTGTATAAAAAAAATTATACAATTTCGTTTAAAAAAATGGAGATGACCTATATATCTTTTTAGCGCCTCCACCTAGAAGAAAGACAACATAACCAAATACGTCCCCCTTGAAACCATTCCACTTACATCTGAAACATTTTCTCCAAAACTGTGGGTGTTATTCGGGTAGCCGGTCTTAAGTGACTCATCCTGTATATATCTTAAAATTGGTATATGTTAAAATTATATCACTTCAGTTATAGTTTAGTATACATATATTCATTAAATATTTATAAATACGTCCCTTTTATGTGTTTAAAAAATGTATTTTTCTAAAATTCCAATAAAACCCAAAAAACCCACAAATTGCGGGTTTTTTTAAGTAGATAAAATTGGGGTGGGTAAAATAATGCCAACTCTGCGAACTATACAATTTTTGTTTGATACATTTTTCCATATCTACCAGTTTTTGACAAATTTTAATGGGTTATTTAAAATGGGACACCCTATATATTGTCTTCTACTGTTACCTTGATTTTTTAAAAACTCGCGAGACATTCGAAAATATATGTGAATGTATGTCATACGTATTCGTTTTCAAATTAAGCATCAAATCAACCCTTAGCCGCAGTCATGCTTTTAGCATGGTTGAATTAGAAAGGTGACCCATTGCGCATAATGGCGGAGGACCCCCAATCAGAAATTGAGCTCATTTGCAGCATGAACGAATCATGTGAATTTTTGCAAATGAGCTCAAAACTTGATTAGTTGACAGATCTTTCTACTTTCAACTCACTATGTATCCGTTGGAATGGGTCACCTTTCTAATTCCACAATGTGCCTTTAGTATTTATCATATACTATACATGTTGCTTTCAATTAATTGTAAGCCATAGCATTCACTAAAGCTATTATTATTATTACCACCGATTGCTGACATTTTACATTATCAGGAAAAAATAACAAAAAAAGTTTTCAGAAAAAGATAGAATACAAAAATAAAATTTCAAGGATTTCCTTAAATATCGATAAAGTTTCATAAAAATTCGTGACTTTCAAGGATAAAAAATCTCCTCAAAATTTCAAGTTTTCCAAATTTTTCTAGATAGTAAGCACCTTGCATGTAACTATTCTTTGTGCAAAAAAAATCGATAATTCAATACCTTTTTTCCATCTTCAATCCATAGCAATGTAGGATATCCCTTAATGTCAAACTGGCCGCAAATGCTACGATGCTGTGTACAATCTATCTTAGAAATACTGACTACATCGTCGTTGCGAAGACTGTTGGCTAACTCATCCCAAGTTGGAGCTAATTTCTGACAGTGTCCACACCAGGGCGCGTAAAACTTGACAAAATGATGTCCAGAAGATACGTGTTTCTCAAACGTATCTTCCGTTAATTCCAGTAATCCATTCACTGCTTCCGGAGGAGTCGGCATGACATCTTCAACCTGGAACATATAAACTGTGACTAACAATTCAATGCAATAGCACGAAATTCAGTATAAAACATACACACCATTGAACTACCCAGTTGATCATTAATAAAAGAAGTCAATGTAGGTAAATCACGAGTGCCTCGGAACTTGATGCCTTTAGTTTCCCCAGTTTTGTAAAACTTCAACCTATGTCCAAAAGACATCATAACGTTATATGTAATTGCAATACAATTTCAAGATAATTTACAAATGTATGACACTATGCATAAACATATTATCAGATATAATCGCGGCGCACATAAATTAAAAATAAATTTTCAAAAAATCTGTTTTGGACAAGAATTAAGTTAGATGGCAAAAATGTATTACGTAGGGTAGCCAGTAACATCTTGCTCGCTGCACAAAACGCTCTCGGTTGTGCAATCCACCTTGGCGATTCTTATATTACTGTCCTCCTCATTCGAGATCTCTGCCAACTGCTCCCATGTGGGGCTAAGTCTTTGACAATGACCACACCTTATACAGAACATTCCCAATTGGATTTTATTGTTCAATTAACATAAAAAATAATATATATTCTTGCTATATAAATTCTATTCCTAAGAAAAATAGATAGATTTATTTCTTAATTAAGATAAAAAACAGCATAAAATACATTCTTTTTGTTGAATTGATCAATTACAATGGGCATGTAAAGTTATAGCACTTCAACTTTAGATCTCAAGATTCTGATTAGAGTTCTAGCTTTTATTTTGAGTTAGTCTCGTAGATAAAAAAATCTAAAGTCTTTTAATGTCCTATTAGGGTAAGATAAGTTTATCATGTTAATGTGCTTATCAAAGTTAGAAGTCGGGAAAAACATTGTTTTTTCAACATGTTTCACCAAATCTAAAAATCTAAAAAAATATCGAATATAATATATAATATAATATATAAGATTTAATTGCTGTGTGTGTGGAATTATTTTAGAAATGATCATTTAGATCATATAAAAATGTGATTTTTAAATTCGCATTTTCTGAATTTCTTGAATTTTTTAAAAACAGAATTCTGAGCCAAAAGAATAACAAAAACTCTTACTCTAATCTTTTTGATACTCTTTATATCCATGATTTTTCTTTTAAACATCCATTTAGATTTAGCAGAAAAAAAAGTCGATTTTAAAAAAAGTAATTTTAGAAAAGTAACGAAAAATTTCTTTCTCAAATAATGGTAACTGCAACGAGTTATTTTTAAAAATCGGTAACTAGTAACGGTAACTTGTTATTTTCCTACTTGGTAACGAATAACTGTAACTCGTTGCTTTTAAAAAATAACTTTCCATTCCCTGATTAAAATTCATAAACAAACGTAGCTTGGTGTGAGAAATAAAGAGTAAAAAATTAACCAATCACAGTCGAGTATTCTTCTCACATTCAACTGTGATTGGTCAATTTCTTACTCTTACTTTTTATACCAAATTTAATCTGTATATTATAGATCAGGCCTAGTATCAAGTAAGAATCTAATCAATCATCAATCGATTGATCTCTCATTCGATTGTGATTGGTTGATTTATTACGGCTTACAATTTACTACATCTTACTACTCCCATTATATAAACAGCTCTCAATTTCTCGATTCACACCAGTTCACACAGCTAAACTTTTTTTGCCAGATTCAGTGATTTCATGCAAAAATGCATCGAATGGACTTACTTTTTATCAATATCAGACGTGAGCTAGCTCAACTCAACAATTACCAAAACAAGTATACATTGCACGCTGTCTTTTATTTTAGATATGAAATAAATTAATTCTTTAAGAAACAATTTATAGCATGACTATATAAACAAAATATGCATTTCTTTACCATGGCGCATAGAACATGACGAAGTGATTTTTCTTGCCAACTTCCATGGAAAAGTTGTCGTGGGTATACCGAAGAGTATGTGCATCTTCGTCGTGGCCATGACTAGTTTGACTTAGTACAAACAGAAGAAGCAGGATCTGCCGTTTAGATACACAATCTACCATCACGAGCGACAGCATCGTTCGCGAGACGAATGAGAAATTATTCAATCCTATTTAGACGATATCCCGTCGGGAAGAGCAAAAAAGGACGACGTGATAGCGATCTTCAAGATTTTTCAACGACGAAGGCCCGTGACCTTTTCGTGCCGGGGCTTAAAAAATCGCCAATTGTGACAGCAACATACCAAGTGTGATCTTGAAACCTCGAAAGAAGGTCCGACTCACAAATGCTCATAACATCCTGCCGGAGATCAACTGCAATCGACGGTCACGGTACCTTGTCGTCATGTATCCACACGTATCAGAGATCACGGAAGAAAGGATTCCTGCAGAACTGAGGCTGTTCCAGGCCGTTCGGATCTGCTTGATCAACTCGACCCCGAAATCCGAATTGCCTCTGAATCACTCCGCTTGTCTCGACTTTCTCGCGCGAACGGATACACATTCCGCCCAATTCCGCGGTCCACCTACCAATCACTACCAATACAGAAAAATCAGTGACGATAACCGCGACAACTGAAATCACTGGCCATCCTTCCACTATGGCGAGGGTGCGAGGTGCAAAGTGCAGTCGTAGTACTTCTTCTTCTTCTAGGGCCAATTTCACCAACTACGGTTAGATTAACCGACGGTTAAAGTTAGCAGGGTGACCAACAGACACATAGTTTAAAAGGTAATATAAATATATATACTTCATCCTTTTTTACAAGTGTTGAACGATCAGTTTCTTTGTTTTCAATGACATCACGTTGTAAAAATATTAAATCTAATAAAGATTCTTTATCTGCGTCAGAAAAATTCTTTTGCCTTTGCATGTTTTAATCTGTAAAAAAAAATAAAATTTATAATGTCATTTTATATTATATAAAGAAACATATTATATATATTTATATTACCTTTTAAACTTTTTTTCACATGTATAATACACTGTTTATTGCTTCCCACAAATTTCAGGTTAGAGCCAAGAGGTTACGAGAAAATATGTGTCTGTTGGTCACCCTGCTAACTTTAACCATCGGTTAATCTAACCGTGGTTGGTGAAATTAGCCCTTAGTTAATGGCTCCTGCCTCCCATGGAGTAAACGGAGGCAACACGGCCAGGATCACGTCCGTAAAGCCCATGGCACATACAAAAACGTAATGGTTCCTGCACACTGGACGCGGAAACGCTTGCCGCGCGCAAAATGTGACGCGGTAGCCAATAAGCTTACAGCTCCTAACATGTTCATTGGTTACCGCGTCGCATTTTGCCGCGTGGTAAGCATTTCCGCGTCCAATGTGAAAAAGCCATTACTAAGCAGTAATTTGTTGTTGATCTAATGATCCCATCATTATTATATTAATTTCTTACTAATTTGTATTAAAGTGTTATTATACATTCATGGCGGTTTTATGCAGATGGTGCTTTTCGCATGCATATAAATCTGCCACCCTTATTATATTATACAAAAATCGTATAATTGTGTGATATTTTTTTTGTTATTTTTTTAAATATATTAATGTAATACAAAACCAAATACTTTGTATTACAGTTCAAAAATATATCGTTTATCACTTTATGGATTACCTTGTCATGGTAGTTATTTAAGAACAAATTCAATCACGAATAGCTAAAAGTGATACATTCTCGACATGAGATTGTGCAACTGCTTTTCACGAAAAATCAGATATTTTCTTATATTTACTTTGGCGGCATTTCACACACTTTCACAATCTCTTTCTAAAAATTTATAAACACTTTCACTACGTTGTATTTTACTGCGTGTATAAAATAGGTGGCGCTATTCCGGTCAGTGGCATCATTCCGTACGTTTACCTTAAGCCGGAATCAGACTACGCATTGAAGATTGAGATCGAAGATTGAAGATTGAAATTTGACCAATGAGGGCAAAGGAATTTTAGTTCCTATTGTTTTGATTAGTCAAATTTCAATCTTTCAATCTTCAATCTCAATCTTTAATGCCTAGTCTGATTCCGGCCTTATGTCTGTGTCACACTACACATTGGAGACTGAAGATTGCAAATTGAGGATTAGAATTCAGCCAATTAGAACGAAACGGATTAAACTTAAAATTACCTGATTGGTCGAATTCTAATCTTTAATTCGCAATCCTCAATCTCCAATGCGTAGTATGACACAGGCATTACGCCTTGTGTCCACGATGCTAGAAATTGGTCCGAGATCTCGGAGAGAGAAAGAATTAACCAATCGCATTTAAACAATTTAGTCACATGATCAATGCGATTGGTCAATTCTTTCTTCATCCGAGATCTCTGACGGATTTCTAGCATCGTGGACACTGGGCTTAAGCTGGGTCGCGGACTAAGCGCATTCAACGTAAAGCTGGTTCTACATTAGTCGCATCGCAATGTCGCAAGCGTGTCGCAAGCGTTATGATCCAATCAGAGTCGAACTAGCTTGATGTTGATTGGACCGCAACGCTTGCGACGCTGCGATGCGACTAATGTAGAACCAGCTTTACGTTGGATGCCCTTAGTCCGCGACCTATACGATAGGTGTCTTTGTTTAACCTACAGGATAAACAAGAACATCTATTGTATAGGCCGCGGACCATATGCACGATGAAGCGTATCCATACACCGTAATACCAGATTTAGTGGACCATTTTATCGACCTTTTAGTAGGTCGGAGTCGAAAATCTAGATAAGGGCTTTTAAGAAGAAGAAAAATAATCGAGAGAAGAACAGAGAAGTGTTTAATCGGTTATAATATAGGTTATGTATAACCTGTATAACACTTGGTATCACGACGTTTTAGAAGACGCTATTATTGTTCATTACATTTGACGTTGCCCCGAACTCGACGATTTACTGGTGTGCGCAACGATAAACGGTTATGAAGTTTTACTGCTATATCGAGATCCACGACAGAACATTATCTGTCTGCTCGCAGAGAAGATCACAGTCGATCGTGGCATTCACTAAGAAATCAGTCGAAGATGACTTATACCTGTATCTGCAGACACGACAGAACAAACAAGGCATCAAGTACCAGGTAGCTGGATGTAATACTAGTGTCTAATTGTCCATTTTTCTAACAAGCTCATTCTATAATTGTATAATCATAGTCGTAGGTGGCTATAATTGTAAATATTGATCAAACACAGTTAAATATTTTTTTTATATTCGATTATAATAGATCAACTCTTACAACTATGCATTTATAAAATGGACTTTATAGGCCGTCTACAATAGGAGTAATGGCTGTGTTCAACAGAGAAAATTAATCAGTAAGCACTTAGTGATTCTTTAGTACGTAAGAATTCAATACATAAAAAAATTAATCAATTAGAGTCCTTTATTTTCTTTCTTTCTTTCTTTCTATGAAACAAAAGATTCTAATTAGTTGATTTCCTCATGCTTTATATATTATGCAAAGGATCTGTGTTCCAGGCTTTAAGCTCATTTTACAATTGAGTAAGCATAGTTGTAAGTGGTTGTGGTTGTAAAAATTGATCACAGTCGAATATTCTCATATTTAATTGTGACTAGTCAATTCTCATGCCTGTTCTATAATAGCTATATAAACATAGTTATGATTGTACTTGTAAGAATTGACCAATCACAGTCAAATATTCTCCTCATATTCGAAATGATTGATCAATTACATCCACAATCACAACTATGCTTATGGCTATTGTAGAATAGACTTTAAGCTAAAGACATAAGACATAAACAGTGAACTCGGTCAATCATAGTAGAAAACTAAGGTTTATTACCTTATGTACTCTATTGTGATTGGCCAATTCGCTTACTGCTTAAGTCTTACTGCCTTAGTTTTTCTATGTGTTTCTGGCTTTAAGGGATCTACACATACTTTCCATAACAGTAATCTGCAAAAATAAAGATGTACCGTAAGAATTAGCCAATCACATTAAAAAATTATCACAAATTTTGTGCCCTGATTGACTAATTCTTATGATATGTCTAACGGTTACAGAAAGTATGTGTAATGGCTCTTACTCCCATTGTAGATTTTTTTAGACTTTAACTTTTATATTGTTTTAATAGTTTTCATACTTTCAGTGGAGTCTAAACTGCATATTTCACTTTATTTTTGAAGGATACATCTGATAATCATCTTTTTTTTCTTATTTTTAGATTGTTAATAATGTAGAACAAGTGTTCACAAAGTTTATCGCCGATGGCAAAGTTACAATAAGACTGATACAACCTTGTCACGATCTGATAATTCAGAGTGATTCAATTCAATTGAAAAGCTTTCTTCGTATATTGAATCAAATAATAAATAGACATTCTCAGCATGATGTTCTCATAAACCAGTATACAGTTATGCCTAATGTGTTTTTCAACTCGAATCAATTCTCCCTGGGAAAAGTCAAAGTGGTAGTGAAGAAAAAGTCTGAGTATCCAACCTTACAGGGTTTCCCAAGAACTACAGAGCAACTAATTTTAAGTGGACTGAGCAGAAAGTCATTTGATCGGCAAATTTTGCATTTGCAAAGTTTAAGAATTCTGGATTTGTCAGACAATAACATCTCCTATTTACCAAAGGAGCTAGGCACCTTACCTCATCTTCAACAACTTCTACTGTCACAAAATAATCTTGGAAAATCACCTAGATTGAAGTGGAAATGGCTAGAACAAACTGCCATTAAGCACAATTTGCATTTCTTAGATATAAGTAGTAATTCAGTAAGTATTATCCAATTAAACTTAAAGATTGTATTAATTAATAAAGCAGATTCTGTTGTCTATAAATTTATTATTATTGTTATAATAATTTGTGGTTATTCACAGCTAACTGAATTGCCAATACAGATTAGAAACCTAAATGCCTTGGTACATCTAAAGGTTAGCCAAAATGCATTGACACATCTACCACATAATATTAGAACTCTACGAAACCTGAGAATTTTGGATGTAGCAAAAAACCGTTTGTTGTATTTACCAGTGACCATCACACATCTGCGATTACAGCTTTTAGATATTACAGAGAATTCGTTTACTAACGACATTAAAAATTATGTGTATGGAAACGATAGTACAATGACAGTAAGGATGAAAAGTCTTGTCGAATGGTCAGCTAAGAGCATTCTGAAGTCTAGGTTCTTATTTTCTTTCTTTTTATTTATATCGCATAATTAAACACTTGAAACATGTAATGAATGGATCAAGATAATTTTTATATCTTATATAGGATAATGTATGATGCAAGTATAATACCATATACATTGGTGGATTATTTGGATGAAGCAAAATGCTGCCACTTATGTAGAATTGCTTGTTTTAATTGTTACACAAGGAAACTGATATATGTACCTCTATCATGTGCCGAGATAAAAAAGTCGATGCATACAGCTTTTAAATTTGAAGCTTATTTCTGTTCGTCACTTTGTGCTAAATAGCCTCTGTAAGTCGAAATCAAACACTTTAACATCTAATTTTCTCTGTTATAAAACATGAAATATACAAAAAATACGTGTATTTAAATTTATATTTTTTATTTAATTATTTAATTTATATTTATTATGTATTTACTGCTCACAGATTTCTATAAGTAGACTGCCAACTTCGCCTCTTTGAAGACAGCGCTGGGCAGCGACATATTTGAATTCTCTCGCTCACACATGTATAAATTACATGGATAAATTCACACGATACTCACAGACAAGACGCACACATATAGGAACTAAACAAGGACATCTCGGAATCAGATTCATCTCTTTCTATCACATTGAGTCAGCAGTCTATTTATATAAGTCTTACTACTGATAAATTGATATCAACGTTATTGATCGATACTTAAATATAAATAGAACGATATAATTGTATATTTAATCACCTTTGTATATATCTTTTTATATGTCATTTTATTTTGAATTATTAATTGTATACAATAAATTTTTCATTTATAAATGTGACAATTTGTTTTTAAAGCTCTAGTAATAATTTGTGTAACATTATATTTCAAAATGAAAATATAAGATAATAGTTCATATTCATAACGAAATTATAAAAATAGTCCATTCTGAAAGACACGTATAAAATATTTTGTAAAATTGTGAAAAGAAATTAATTCTACTATTCAACAAGAAAGGACTTTTTTTACAATATAAAAACAAGGATAATGATTTCTCTTATGCAGGATTTACAATAGGAATGCGTTCGGAGAGATGCTATTCGTGCTACATCATTTAGCGCTATAAGTTTGCGGAGTTGTAGATAACAAACAAACATGACGTCACTAAGGGCCATGACACACAAAAAAAACTTAAACAATAAGACCTATAGGATAGATTTATAGGATAGACGGAGTATTCATACGAGAGTTCCTATTAGAGTTCCTCTAATAAGAGTTCCGCCATATTCAGGGAACGAAAGTGATAGTAAGAATGAAATAGCTTGTTATAGGTTGTTTTTTCACTTTGGCCGATATTCATAGTCGATTCTTATGTTTGAGATTGTCAAATACAGTCTGAAGATCAGTCATAAGCCAATCAGGGCCGTATTAGCATCTTAAGTCATTACTTAAGACGGTTTTGAAATAAGAACGAACTATAAATGTCGCTCTTTATCTCATACTCATGTTTCCTATTAATGGCGGACGCACATACGTGCGAGACGGGTGTCCTAACACTTACTAGAGGAACTCTATGCGAGAGAAGCTGAGGACTTGATAGAAAGAGAGTGGAATAGTTCTCTCCTTTTCTAGTAGTGAATTGATTGGTGGCATAGACTTATAGCTACAAACCTATAGTGATGCTTATTAGTGAAATGTCTTCATGTGATACCAGCAAGTAACATTTTGATACTAATCAAAGATAATTATTGTTTTGGTGTTTGACCTTCTTTATTATTTAACAGTACATATTCTAAGATTCATATAAAAACTGAGAAATTTTCTAAAGTTATAAAATTATATAGAATTCTAAACAATTCTGAAATTTACATAAAAATAATTTTGAAAAATTATATGAAAAATTTTAAGAAAAATTTTCATCAGAATTATAACATTTTTCTCAGAATTTTTCTTGTAATTTTTCATAATTTTTATATAAATTTCAGAATCTTTCAGAATTTCTGTATAATACAATCTATTTTTATATTGTTCATATACAACTTACTTACAACTTATAACTTACAATATATTTTTACATTCAAATTATCAGTGTACAACGGTTTTATATGGCACCCATGCGTTCTAGTACGTCCAATTAAATTCGCCGTAAAACACGTTTTACATATGGTAAGCACACATAATATTCTTTTTAAAATATACAATTTAAAATTCTTTTTAAATTCTTTTTACTCACTTTGGCTGTGTTTCAAATTTACTGTGCTGAAAATGCTACAGTTTACGTTACGTGCATTATAGATTTTCAGTACAGGCAGTCAATTTTGGAACATAGTCCTTCTATCATCCTTTTATCAGTAGCTAATGTTTCTATCATGTTTTTATCATCTGGATGAATATACCAAAATGAACTAACGCAGCCTGATATTTTATATGAAAGTTTGCCATGCAGGTGTAGTTTTGATGCAATAAACTTTTAGTTTTTATGGAAAAACAATGTTACAACGCAAGAACAAAAAAGTCTCCTTGTAGTAATACATGAAAAATAATTTGTAGAGTAAAATTTTTCAATATTTTGACTATAAATATTTAATATATTTGAAAAAATTATAAATATTCTTTATATAGATATAAAATAAGAGCATTTAAGAGAATTGCAAGGAAAAGTTCAAAAAAGTTCAAAAAAGTTCAAAATTTAGGTTCTTTTATTATATATTTTTCCGTGATTTTTCCATGATTTTTCCAGATTTTCCAGATCTGCGGCAACTCTAGTTATTACAAAAAATAGATTATTGATAATTGTGGTGTAATATAGTTAATTTTCGCGAATCATTATATATATAATAGAACTATTAGAATACCCTGCAACTACATAGCAATGTCGAAACATAGCGTACATTATAAAGATTTTTGTTTAATATAATATTTCTTTCAACAGCTTTGTATTCACCTTTATTTTTGTTCATATTTATTGTTTTTTTCTAGACAAATATACCTGTAATTTTATATCCTATAACACTATATACTCTCACATACACATATTGCTGACATTGACACACATACGGTTTCCATTTCTCTGATTTTCGGCCGAAAATTGGCTATTTCGCTATTTAAAGAAATCTCCAACTTTATAGGAAATATCTCCAATTAACCGTTTTACAACGAGAATCTTATTGGACCGTACATGTAAACACACAACTGATAAAAAAATAAAGTCCACAACGGTCGGAGAAGAACCTTTAGTGCTTAAATAATTCCATGTGAATTTATATACTGTATATATAATCATTTGAACTGCGCGACGAGGTAATATTTTTCGCAATAAATTTATTCACAGATTTCCAACGTATTGAGATCTCTTTAATAGATGCCTATTGAGCATCAAATTTAATTGTGATATTAATACAGTAATTTACTGTGCGTTTCTAAATCCAAAAAATCAATTCAGCGCACAGTTCCTCAACCCTTTGTGTGTATGTGCGTGTGCGTGTGTGTGTGTGAGAAAGAGAGAGAGAGAATACTATAAGACAATAATTTCATGGTAATAATTGTAAGTGGTAATCAATCTCTAGCAGAAGACCATCGATCTCCAATGGAATACTAATAAAAAAATGGCAACCGTAACATTGATTTCCTATAATTGTAAGCAATTAGTAGACTAAATAACTTATTTCGGTTGCTATTATTTTTTGTATATCCAAGTCTAATATATCTCATATGTATATAAAATTATTTTTTGCATATCCAAGTCTAACATATCTCGTATATTATCTCTTAATACATGTACGAAACAATGTTTACTAATTTTGTCTGTTTAAACAATAATAGATTATGAACTATCTTTCTTCTTTACAAAATTAAAAAAAGTGTCATCAGTCGCTCCAAGAAAATGGTCTTGTGGTGTCACTTTTGTCTTCTTGCCGATTCGTGATACTAAATCTATATCTTTGAATTGATTTTTATCTAATCCCATTTGTAAAGGGTGAACATAAATTTCAGGATCTTCACGAAGAGGAACTGATTCCACATGGCATTTATCACTGTCCATTATACATCCATTATACTGTCCATTGATTATGCTTTCATGCTGATGTAAGGTGAAAAATGTTTTTTTTTTACGTTCAGACTACTGTCTTTAAATACATGTATCAAATGTATAATATAGTGTTCATAACATAATGTTATAATATAATTATATGTTACTTATGCTTACCATCGTTTCTAGTTCGTCTTCTTTCCTTATTGGGTTTTCATTTATAATTAAATCCTGTAGTGAAATCTTATTAGTTTTCAAAAGACCCATGATTGCAGCATTTCTATACAATTTATCTTTCTGTTGAATATATTTATCGTTTAAATTATTAGCCTTAGGTTGATTTACTTTGATATTATCATATTTGGAAGAATTTTGAGATATGTCTTTCCCACATTGTATCATTTCTTCAAGATTTCTGAAGAAACTCTCTTCCCAATGTTTATTTGAAAGGTCACGTCCACCATTTACCTGTATCATATTAATTTAATTTTTTTAGCTACATTAATTAATCTTTAAAAATTCAAATAAAATAAATATCAAAGGGCTATTTGAGTCAAAATGCTGATTATCTTATGTGAAATCGAATATGATGCTACAAAAATAAAATTACATTAAATCTAAACAAACGTTCCGACCTTTAATACGGTCATTCTCAGTGGTTATAAAAATATAAAATACACACTGTCATCAATACACTTGTCAATATATAATTATACCGTTGAATTGAATATCCGAGATAGTTTTCTTTACTGCTCTCCAATTCTCTTCATAATGTCATCGCAATACAATAAACTAAAATGGATCCAAGACGATATATGCAGATGAGACATAAGTTCTAATTTCTCATTATGTACATAAAAAAATAATAAGAAAAAATATTTTTATAAATGCTTTGCTTACAGTACATTTGGATACATGAAATTCAAATGCTGTCATACCGTATATGGTTTTGACTCTACATAATCTGCATGTCTATTAGTTCCACATAATATTATTCAATGTATTACGATATTTATGAAAAAAATTGGAGAGCAATGAAGAAACTTCGGATATTTAACAGTATAGTTATGTATTGACAAGTCGGTGACAGTTACATATTTTATATTTTAATAACCACTAAGAATGACTATATTAAAGGTCAAAACGTTCGTTTAGATTTAATGTAATTCTATTTTTGTGGCATTACATTCAATTTCGCATAACACAATCAGTGTTTCAAATAATCCTTTCATATTTATTTTATTTAAATTTTTAATTCTGAAGCTGTTACTTCTGTTTGTATTTTTAATTATTAATTTTTAAAAATTAATGTTTATTTTTATTTTTAAAAATACAAGAAGTGTAAAGGCTCGACTGGTATACAATCATAAGAGTGAAAAGAAATGCCTATAAGAACAAACACAAGTTATTCGTGTGTAAAAAATATCAAGTTTATTAACAATAGTTTAGACGTTTCAACCACATAATTTTGGTCATCTTCAGTAATTTATAACGCAGTATAAAGAGAACGCTATTATATTAAGTCAATTGGTAAAAATATACAAATTAAAAGGTGTGTCCAAATTTATTTTTAATTAGTTTTTTTATACTGCTCAGATGTTCAAACAACATAAAGTTATTAATGTTTTCCTCAAATATATATTTTTTAACATAGAAATTAATTTTATCTTAAAATCCTAACTGAACGCTATTATTTATGATTAAAATAAAAAATGTATTTTTGTTAATGTCTCTTAATTACCTTTTTAATAGATAAGAATATCTGCTTACCTCTTTAACGGCAGCAGAAACTTCATGTTTGTCGAAAGTAGATTTTACTCTACTACATATATTTATATCCCTGTCATCATTCTCTGAATAAGAGTCTTCTAGTAACTGAAATTAAATGAGCGAATAATTGTTTATAAATAATATACAGAATCTTTTAAAAGTTCAGAAAAGCTAAAATATTTCGAAAATGATAAACTATTTCGAAAAATATATAAACAAAGTTGTAGAGCTAAAGAAAATGTACCTGCTGATGATAAGGGTTTAGGTAAAGTCCTCAAGATCAAGATGAAGGTTAAGTTGAATTTTTCGACTAGAACTTCCCATTTTATATTGCGTGTTCTTATTTTTTAAATCTTTTATTCATAATCTTGACAACATATATCAAAATCAAGACCATTGGAGATTAAAAATGAAAATAAGAACAATCTCCTTGAATAATTCCAAGGAGATAATTAAAATTTCTCTCCAAGAGAAAAGAAGAGAAAGAAAGATGAACTGGTGTAAAAGTTCAGCCAAAAAGAACAGGCCTACTATTTAAAGACCGTCAACCCTGAGCAAATTTTCAGCGGTATAAAAAGGGTCCCAAGGGCCTGGAGGTAATTGAAGAACGATGACATTATCGACAATTGATATAAATTTGCTATTATTAACAAATATTTAGCTAATACATTATTAAATTTATGATTTTTTATTACATAAATGCTCCATAAATAAATATGCATACTTGTAAAGCTATAATATCCTATATATTGCCGAAAAATTACAATTTTTTTTCTCTGCAGTTATCATCTTTGTCGATAATCAAACTTTGACGATAACAATGAAATCATAATTTTAAAGAAAAATCAAATATTATTGAATTTTAAATGCATATACACCGATAAACACATCTTCTAAATTAAATCATAAAATTAGTACAATATTATCAGTTTTCTACTCTTAGTCACTTTAATATTAATAAGGATGCGAACTCCCATAAGGATGTCGGTTTTTAATAGTATCTCGTCGGTAGTAATGCTAATGCCGACGATACTGTAATTTTCGAACTTCATAACACGAGGAGGTACTTAACGGAAAAATATTTTATAACTCTTTTGAGGCTTTTATGGGTATTTTCTTTAGAGTGCCAAAGGGTGTAATACCATTAGCAATGAAATTATGAGACAGCAATAACACAAGCCGACAAAATTTAAGGGAAGTCTTGTGCTTCGAACTTTGAAAGATGTTTCCGTAGAATTTTGATGCGTTGAAAACGACTACATTGTCCGTTTTTTTCCATCACCCTCCATTTTTTTAAATAATTGCAAAAACAGTTTTTTCGAGAAGTAACTTTTTTATTAATTTTTTTTTAACTAAAAAAATGATATCGAAGTCTGTTTTGCAGCATTTAACTCAGAAATGTTCCAACAATACTAAAAATATTTTTTTTGATGCTTATAAAAATGTTTTATGCAAACCGCAAACAAAAAACTTTGGAAAAATCGTTAAAAAATAGGAAAAAATTGACAAATTTTGAAATATAAAACCAAATAATTCGAAAGAAAAAAATCGTAAAAAATATCTTACAATTTATACTTATAGCTGTATGTTTCTACTTTAAATCCTTTTTTGACAACTTTCGAAATTCGAAGTACAAGACTCCTCCCTCCCCCCCAAATTTTGTCGGCCTATGTAAGCCACAAATTCTTTGATATCTGAGGAAAAATATTTTATTATAATGAAAAGTTCTGGAAATAAACTACAAGAATATGCAATAAAAAAGAACATTCAACTTTAAAAATTTAATTGGTCTTCAATATATGATATTGCGGACTTCATTCAAACTTTTATCATTATTAGATATATTTTTTTAAAAAACAATGAAAGAACAAGGGCAGTAGGAGTCAAGCGCATTTTGATTTATAAGGAGTCTTAGTTAGGTTGATTTATTATACGTTATATTTTTTTAGTCTTATAATTTTGCTTCTCACATATTTTTCGCTATATTTGATCGTTTTCAATATATTTCTGGACTTTTAGAGTACACTGCATATATGAAATTTATAAAGCAAATATTATTTTTTATGTATGTATTAACATACAATGACTGCAAAATGTATTTATACAGGCGAGATACCCTTTAAAAAAAGGATTTATTTTTTAAAAATAAAGTTTAGAGTAACTTATTAGCAATTTATTAACGAAGATTAAAATTTCTCAAAATTATTTTACTTAAAAAGATGTATAATAATTAAAATAAATTATCTTAATAACGATAAAATGAAACATTTATTACATATACTGACATGGCTGTTTCGTGGTTTCTTCACTGGTCTTTCATTCATTTTTTTATCTTTTGCAGCTTGACTTGGTTCTTGCAATCGATAGAACTTAGCATCTTTATCTAAGAAAGGAAGTGATGTTGCCTTCTTAATATCATTACGCAAATCCATTTTTGTAAACCTGAAGAACACAATAGAAAGATAATAGATCTGGTCAAGCTAACTTTTGTTAGATAATTTGTGTCCAATGTTTCTTTAAAGATGCCAGTTTTCGATCTTGTTAAATGTTGCTCAATTTCTATAATATTAGATTGAAAGAAAATATTTTGAATTTTTATGTACTTTACTGCGACAAATATTTAAAATGGCAGCCTTATGCAACTCTTAAAAACATTTGATAGAAATCGATGCCTATTGTGTCAAGGAGACATTATTGAATCATCAAATACATATTCAACAAATTATTTAATTTTAAGAGATCTCTCAGCCCTTTAAGTCTATCACAAATTTTTAAAAATAAAGTTTTAAAAAATAGAAGCAGAAATACATGTTTCACAATTTATCGAACATTAAATTTCCAATATTAAATTTCTCTATCGACTCTTGTTCTTATATTCACATAAAAAAACTCTAAACAAAACCGAAATACATTTACAGGTAAAGCCGACAGTACACAATGTTTGTTTTCTTGCTGGATTAGGTTCTTGCTGGATTAGATTCTTGCTATCATATTGGCTGCGATGCTGGTATTTGTTATGGTAGCAAGATTCTCAGTTACCAATCCAGCAGGAAAACAAGTACCGTGTGCCACTGACTTAAGAGTTAACTAAACAGTTGAATGAATTAATTAATATCGTTTAAATTAACTTACAACTGATACTTGGGTGTGCGAATTTGCACCCAGGTATTTTTTACAGATGCTCAAGAGGGCCGTGTCCCTTATAAGGGAGATAATATGTATTACATAAATGATTGTATTACAGTTTCGGATCAAGATAATTTATTTTCAATATTGTTATTTCAATAATACTAGAAGCATTTAATTTTATCTGTCTTACCTTTGTTCGATTGTAAAAACAGAAAACTAAATTGAGAAGCTTTTTGACTTGCCACACTCACTGATCAGTCACATTTTTATATATTTCATTCGTATCTATCATTGATCTTACGCGACCTTTTTCATAAGTTTTTGTTATTCTCGCAAATTGACTTCGTCTATTTATATCGGCAATTGTTCAGTTTAGCCACGTCACCTCAAAAATTGATTGAAATTAGGATCATTCGACACGTTTTTGCCAGAAACGAACGAATCTGATCGAGAAAAGCATCACTCTGTCCGGCAAACTGAGATATTAACGAGATATTAATCGTTAACGACTATTCAGGTTAGGAATTGGCGTGTTCAGCAGAGAAAATTAATCAGTTAAGCCCATGGCACATACAAAAACGTAAGGCCGTAAACATAATCAGTAAGCGAATTGGCCAATCACGATAGAGACCGTAAGGCCAGTAGCGAATCCAATCTTACGATTTCTTTACTGCTTACGTATTACGGCCTTACGTTTTTGTATGTGCCATGGGCTTTAGCGCTTAGTGATTCTTTAATATGATTGGTTCTCGCCTTTAATTCTTCGCAAAATCTAAGTGTAGGAACCAATCGTATTAAAGAATCGCTAAGCACTAACGGTTACACGACAATTTTCATAAAAAAAGAGGGGGTAATGTTGATAGCAACAAAAACCCTTGAGACCATAGTTTTATTTTCTACGGATTGGTAATATTTACAAGTAGTAATCCATTAGTTTGTGCCAATCATGGTCGATCGAGTGTAAAAGTAATGTAATTACATGATAATTCGGCTGTCATCGCGGAGGTTTCGTGTTTTGACAATTATGTGTATGGCTGCGTTCAGCAGAACGGTTGTTTTGCAACTGTTGGAAGTTTCCTTCGCGCTAATTGGATCATACTTTTAGATCTAGAAGAATGGTCCTATCTC